GTGGCTGATGATTCAGTGATGTCTCCTTTCTTCACGGTGCATTTTAATTGTTTTCCTGAGTGTGTGCAGGGCTGTTCACTCTGAAAGTGTGAGTCAGGCCCAAATGTCTAGGCATCCGCTGTGACTTTTGTTTTATCATTGTGTGTGACTTAACTAAAAATTAAAAACATAACATGGGTGTGGGGCACAAGGACTTATTTCTGCTCTTGATGTATTTGTCATCCTGGTATTTAAGAACACTGAACTGTATGCATGTTGACACTGATGGTTTTCATTATTTTCTACAGTAACTCAAGTCTCAGTTTGTCACTGTGAGACATTTTATACCAAGTATATACAATATACTCATATATTGTATGAGACATACAATAATACACATCATGATTTTATTAATATTTTTAAAAGAGGTATGTTAGATTAGAGGTTTTTTTTCCCAATTCTGAATGAATCGAAGTAATTAAGATTTTTAAATTTCTAATTTAAGCCTTGAATCATTGAGATTGTGGTAATATCTGGATATAGTCACAGGTGTTAAGGCAGGAAATCAGTTATTTTACCTTTACAGAAAAGCTTTAATAGATAAGAAAAAAATGGACATGAGTTTTTGATACACACTATAGTCAGGTACTATGAAAAATTTAGCAGGTATCCAAAAGTCACACAGGTATTACTTTCAAATTTTCTAGGATTTTGGTCTCCATGATTTAAATGTAACACGTCACTTACAGTTTTTGACTTTGGGTTACATAGTGATGGCTTAAAACGTTTAGGTAAAGCTCTAAGCTGTCAGACCTTGAGCAAATTAATTTTCTAAGAATTTATTTCCTTATTTCTACAATAACAATAACAATAGCAATTATAACAACACCTATCTTACGAGCTTTTTTTTGAGAGTTAAATGAAAAAAAAAGTGTGCAAAGAAGCTAGCACAGTGCCTGGCACATGGCACTAGTCAGTACAGATGGGCTTACCAAGGAAGGAGCAAGCTTGGGGTGTTGACCAGATGTTTGTTTAAATATGCCATAGCAGCTTATTAACTTGGAGAATGCTGCTTCATTTTTATAGTCTCTGTTGCAGTAGCCACCCAGTACTCCAGTATTTCCAAAGCATGACCTTGATGTATCAGTTTGCCCTTCATCTGTAGACTTTAGAAGATTATTTAACCTTGTACTATGGATAGAGAGCTGGTCCAAGAGTATTTCATTTGCCCTGTCTATAACAAGTGCAGGCAGATCTTGACTTTCTCAAATATTAGATAAGAGAAACCCACAGGAAGCTTAATAAAAATATTGCGAAACAAGAGAAAGAAGTATCAAAAAATAAAAAAATAAGAGCAAACATCTGAAAATGATCTACTTCAAGATCTAGAAGAAAATTTTAGAAAATTGCCATCATCCTTGGAATACAAGAAAATATGGTACTATGAAAAGAACGTAAGTTGTGATGGATATAGAAATTTTAAAAATGAAAGAAGAAAACCTAAAAAAGAAAAAAAGAATAAAAAGCATGTGGACTCATACATGGTTGGAAGGATGGTAAATGATACAACCCCTTTGGAGAACTGTTGGGCAGTTTCTTATAAAGTGAAATATACATCTATATGTGACCCAGCAATTTCACTCTTGGCTATTTAACCTAGAGAAATGAACACATATGTTTGCAAAAAGAGTCATGCAAGGATGTTTATAGCAGCTTTCTTCATAATAGCCCTGTTGGCCTGGATCACAGATCCCTCTACTCCATCCAGTGCAGGTCATGAGCCAGGTAGTAAAAAGATTCTGGTGGCCGTTAACAGGATAGACATGCTTTATTCCAATGCCAGCTCCGCCGCCAGCGGTTCAGAGCCATTGCCTTCCATACTGAAAGTACAAACTAATGGCAACCAGCCAGTACATGGGTGCACATGCACAGTTATACCACCCTTACATAGCTTGTTTACAGTGGATGTGCTGAATCATACCCCGCCAGATATCAGGCTACAGGGCCAGACTAAACTAACTCCACTTTCCTCGCAAGCCCAGAACTGAAAACAATCCAAACATCTGCCAACAGGAAGATGCATAAGCAAATTGAGGTATAGTCATATAATGTAATACTACTTAGCAGTAAAAAACAAAAACCCTACTGATAAATGCAAAACATGGATAAATCTCAAAAATATTTTGTTAAACGAAAAAAGCCAGGCACAAAAGAGCACACACTGTATTATTCCAAATGTATAAAACCCAGGGCCTGACAGAAGTAACCTGTATTGACAGAAGTCAAAAAATGGTTGCAAAGGTTGGGGGTGATGGTCATGGGAATCGGCTGGAAAAGGCCATGAGGGAACTTGCCAGAGTAATGGAAATGTTTATATCGGTTTTTTTGAAAGGTAGTTAAAGCTATGTATACTGTTAACATTCATCAAACTGAGCACCGAAG